TGCGCATGCGTACAAGCCTGACCGCGCCAGGAACTGGCCGCCCCGCGCACTGGCCGCTCTGCGCACGCGCGCCTTTGCCCGCCGCTTGCAGACGCTCTCGCTGCCGGCTGGTGGCGGTCGTCGTCTGGACCGCAGTTTAGAAGCGATGGTTACGCTCCGTGCCTGGAGATTTTCGCCGGGCGGTTCTGCTGGGGGCTTTGGCTCCAGTGATTCAAACTTTTACAGTCGTTTTCTTTCCCTTCTTGAGTCACTCTCGCCCTGGAACTCGCGGCGGTTCTCCTGCCTCAGCTTCCTGCCTGCTGCGGTGACAACCGCGTGTCACCATGGCCAGCTTACTTTTTAAACTTTGTTTTAAGGCAAAAAATATAAACAACTGACCTTTATGCTTTATTTAGACCCAAGGAAATTAGTTACTGCTTGTAAGATCAGGCTGCACGCACACGTCTGGCCGGGGCGTCGCTCGTGGCGATTCAACGCTTACGGATCGACCCACGTCCTGTATCGATTTGCCTCCTCTTTGACCTTTCCTCTTTGGAGTCATAAATTTCAAATTTGTATTTGGTTCACTCGGTGCAGACCCAACAAGTCAATCTCTAGCCAAACAACCTTTAGCCTCGAGTCACAGCCTGCTGGCCACGGGCCAGATCTAAAACCAAGGGGTTTTGCTTTTCACCAGATGCGTTGTTAGCAAAGGACAATGGACGCAAGTGTTGAATCTTGCAGCCGCGGATGTGGCCGCCGGGAGCATTGCACCAGCCCGGGCTGCAGGGCTGGACGCCGGGTGAGGTTCTGAGCTGGGTCTAGGAGGGGACGAGGGAGGGAGGGAGGTGCACGCTTGGTGCCCGTGACAGGTAGTGGAGAGTGCCACTCGGTGTGGCCACCAGATGGCAGGCGCAGGCTGCGGGGACAGGGAGGGCGGCTGTAGAGAAGCACACACTTTGAACAAGAAAAGGGCACAGGCAGTGGTCCTGGGGCAGAGCAGAGGATGTGGAGCTCGGCTTGAAAGCATCGGAGGACACAGCCTGTTACTTTGTCATGGGAGGGAGGGAGTCCGTCTCCCAGGAATCGTGTGACCCAGGTCGTCCTTACTACACTCCAGATTCTCCCGCCTCAACTTCCTGAGACCTAGGTCACAGCTACTTTTAATGCTAAAGTGTGACTGAGAAACGGCAGGCTGCGGAGACTCGGTGGGTAATAGCTCTTGCTACTCTTGCTGAGGACCCAGGTTCAGTTCCCAGCACCCACACCAGCGTGGCTCACAATCACCAGTAACTCCAGCTCCAGGGATCTGACACCTTTGGCACTCAAAGGCACCTGCATGCAAGCAAATGTCACCCACACAGATACATGCAGATAAAATTAAAAATAATTAAAATAAGGGACACAGGACCGGGCTGGAGAGACGGCTCAGAGGTTGAGAGCACTGGCTGCTCTTCCAGAGGTCCTGAGTTCAATTCCCAGCAGCCGCATGATGGTTTACAGCCATCTGTAATGAGATCTGGTGCCCTCTTCTGTCCTGCAGGGATACAGACAGAACACTGTATACATAATAAATAAATAAAATTAAGAGAGAGAGAGAGAGAGAGAGAGAGAGAGAGAGAGAGAGAGAGAGACAGACAGGACCTGGGCTCAGAACAAGAGAAATGGGATTGGGGACAGTTGGTAGAGGGTTGGCCTCGCATGCACCAAGCCCTGGGGTCCACCCCTAGCACCCCAGAAAACAGGTATGGTGACCTGGGTGTCATCCCAAGCACATGGGATCTGGAGTTGGAGGTCATCCTGGGCTACTTGGTGAGCTCAAGGCCAGCCTGGGCTACATGAGACCCTGTGTCAAATTTTTTTAAAAAATTAAAAAAGAAATAGGTGATAATCTTAAAGCCTGGGTTCGGTCTTCAGCATGAAGGATGGGGTGCCAAGGGTCAACCTGGGGATTGAACTTGGTCGTGAGTCCCTCTTGTTAACTGTGAGCGGTGGGAGAGGCCTTTGTACAACTCCAGGCCTCTGTTTCCCTGATCCCTAAGGGGGTTGCTAGGAAGACCCATGGGTGACAGGTTCATGTGCCTCGGGCCCCATGTACAGCCTTATCTGGGTAGGTCAGGCCCAGAAGTTTCCTCAATCTCCATTCTCGGATGCCGGGCAGGGGCCAAGCCTGCTGGCCAGCAGCTGGGGCAGCCTCCCCCACAGCAGCCCAGCCCTGGAGACTTGGCCACTGTCCTTCCCTGGGGGTGGGGTTAGAGGTCAGCCCGCCCCCAGCGGCCCCTGGAATGAGGACAATCTAGTTGTGTCAGCCACACTTGGGCGTCCAGGACCACCCAGTTACTAGACCTCTGAGAAAGTGGAGGGTACAGCAGGATATGGGGGAGCCAGATCAGGGGAAACTGAGGCACAGATCGGGGGAACTGAGGCATCCCCCATATAGAAACTCCACTGTTCCAGTCTGTCAGTGCCCATTCAACTCCACTTTCTCCCCTGTGGAATCCACAAACCAGCCCACCATCTGGGAACTCCTCAGAGGCTGACAGTGGACCCCCAAGAGGAGGGAGGTCTTGCTGACTCCCCTCAAATTCTGTTCAGAACAGTTTTGTGGGTCACTGGGTGGGACCTTGCTGCAGGGACTCTGAGAAGCAGCGCAGGGCTGTGCAGCCTCAGGGCCACTCAGTTCCCTTCTGAGGCTCTTTGGCTAAGGAATGAAAAGAAACAGGACAGGCCAAGCCAGTTTGCCTGAAAGATGCCTTAAAAAAAAAAATGGCTGGTCTTTGCCCCCCCCCCGCCCCCCCCCGTCCCCCGCAGTGTTGGGGCGAGTGGGTGACGTCCCTCCCTGGAGCAAGGTTGTTTTCAATTCTGTCAGTAACTTGGGGAGGGACCAGCCAGGGCCAGACTTGGCCAGAGCAGGCAGGACAGAGTCAGTGGCGGAGGACCGGGCCTGTCCACCTGGCCTCAATTACCTTGACTCATTCGGTCTCCTGAGTCCCCTGGGTGTGGGGCTGACATTGTTCAGGGATCCTCTCCACTCCAGTCCTTGAGCTGTCACTGCCCAGGATCCACCCAGCACCCTCTCTCTGGTGCCCACTGAGGCACACCACAGCACCAAGTGGTCAGGCTGGGGGCGGCGGCTGGGCCCACGCCTTGGATCCCAGTTTTCGGGAGGCTGAGCCCCCCCCCCCCCCAGTGCACCTGAGCCTGGGGGTGGGGGAGGGGTGTGTCTGTCTCCAGGACGCCGCCGCCACCGCTGCTGCTGCTGCTGCTGCTGCTGGAGCTCTGGTCCCTGGGGTGACAGGTGGGCAGGACACAGAGCTGGGGTGGGGGTGGGGAGCCCCAGGGAGTTAGCAGGCCTCCACCTGGCTGCTGGGGAGGGAGAGGTGTGAAGGTCACATGCAACTAGCCCAAGGAACAGAGATGGACGATAATGTCCCAGGGTGGGGACAGAGGGAATGAATGGTTCCCAGATGGGAGAGGGGATGGCCTGTGCAAAGGTCCTGGGGCAGGCCAGGCCTGCAGTTCACACCGTTCATCCCTGTGCCTCGGAGGTGTGAGCCACCACAGCCTGGCCTTTTTTTTTTTTTCCTTTTTCCTTTTTTTTCTAAAGCAAGAAAAGCAGCAGCAGCCAGGGAGACGGCTTGGCAGGCAGGACACTCATGCCCCAGTCTGACAACAACCTGAGTTCGATCCCCAGGACTCGCACCGTGGAAGGAGAGAGAACCAACTCCTAACTGTTGTCTTCGGAACCCCACTGGGGCGGCCCTGCACGCAACACACAGACCTGAAGCAGAAGGAAAAACGGACACTGACCGGAGCAGACCTCCTCCACACGCTCCGTGCCTGGGGTCCCCTCCACCCCCACCAGCCCCCCAGGAAACCCCAAGACCACCACAAAGCGGCTCGTCCACAGAAGTGTCTCAACTTTTTAATCTCACCGATTTACAGGGTTACAATCGCATTAAATATGTCTGAGGCTTAAATACAATCCACAATAAGGTCATAAAATGTAAACTTTCAGTGTATTTTTTTTTTAATTTCAAAAATCACACTTCTTTTTTTTTGTCGTTGTTGTGTTTGAGTTTTCCTGTTAGTAGCTGAACTTTCCTGAATATTCCGCACAGCTGTGACCGTTGCAGGCCACAGCCCGGCAGGAACTGACCATGAGGCCTGACCAGAGGTAGAAAGCAGTTTTTACTTTTTTATTGTTTTTTTTTAATCCACTTATTTTTTTCATTTTACCTGAGTTGGTGTGCGACCCACACACAGTCGGACAAGCCCCTCCCGCCCCAAGAAACTAAAAAGTTCACAGGTTCTGAACAAAACAGCTCAGCTCACCTTTACCCAGAAGGAAAAATAAAATCCACAAAAGCCAAAATTAAGTGGGGGTGGGGGAAAAAAGTGTGTAAAAACGATAAAAAAAGGAAAAAAAAAATCCTATAAGACTATACAGATGTGTAACTCTCAGAAAACACTAACTTAGCTGTCCCAAGCCCCAAGCCCACCCACCCACTGCAGCTGGACAGACAGACAGACAGACAGACAGACAGACAGATGGTCTGGTGGCCAGCAGAAGGGCCACCAGGAAGGTTATAGAGACAGCCTGTCCCTGGGAAGGTTCTAGAAGCAGCCTGTGCCTGCCCTTACACCCTCTTT